TTTTTTTTAATAAATAAATAAAATGTCAAACTCTCAGGAAGGTCTATGAGTAGTCATAGTTCACCATAGCAAATGCATTGAGTGCTGGACTCTACACAGCCTTTACATTCCAGACCAACGCAAAGACAACTCAATATCCAAGGACATAATTCAAGTCATTTCAATAATTAAGAGGAAGGACCATTTGCGATAACATGGATTCACTGTGAGGGCAATATGCTAAGTGAAATAAGTCAGAGACAGACAAATGCTGTATGATCTCACTTACATGTGGAATCTTAAAAAAAAAAAAAAGCTCATAGATACCAAGAACAGATTGGTAGTTGCTGGTGGGGGCAAAAAGAGTGAAGGGACTCAAAAGATACAAACTTCCAGTTATAAAATAGATGTCATAAAGATTTAACGTACAGCATGGCGACTAGAGTTAATAATACTGTATTGTATATTTGAAAGTTGCTAAGAGAGTAAATCTTAAAAGTTCCATTAGAAAACAAAAAAATTCTGTAACTGTATGGTGACAAATGTCAACTAGACTTATTGTGATGATCATTTTGCAGTATATACAAATATCGAATCATTATGTTGTACCCATAACACTATATAATGTTATGTGTCAGTTATATCTCAATAAAATACAAATTAAAAATTTTGTAATTTTAAAAAAGGAAAGTAAGGAAGGAAAAGAAATGAATATTTATTATACCTCTACTATTGCCATGGGCTATACAGGATATATTGTGTACTTTCGCTCACTGAATCTTCTAAACAACCTTTAAATTAGGCATCAATATTCCTACAGATGAGAAAATTGAGACTCAACGAAATTAAATAACTTGCCTTATATCAAACAGCTAGAAATGGTAGGTAGAAGGAATTACACTTTAGCCATGGGATTGTCCTGGTTGCATAGCCTGCATGGTACAGAGATTAAGCCCTTAAGGTTGGGATGTAAACAGGTATAGGTTTGAATCCCATCTCTTCTATTTCTTAGTGTCTATTTCTTAGACCTTAGGCAAATCATTGAAAGCCTCTAAGTACAAATGTCTTCATTTCTGAAATGAGGATACAAATAATACCTAGCTTTTGTGTTTTAGGCAATTACATGAAGCAACACACGTAAAGCATTTAACAGAGTATCTGGCACATAGAATGCAACCCAGAAATGGTGGCTGTCCATGGGCCCTGTGGCACAGTTGCAATTATGCATGAGAAACCACCTGAGGGACACATAAGTGTTATATATCTCTTGAAGGGGTTCAGAATATGCCACTTTGGGATAAAGATTCGTTTGAACTGAAGGTAACTGAGAATCAACAGATGTAGAAAGAGTTCTTCACCCTCCCTTTATCCACCCAAAAGCAAGGCATAAATTTCCCTTGTGAAGTTGTCTTCCTCTCCTGTATCAGGAATGGGAGAGGGACTCATCACCAGAGACGGAGAGTCAGCACTGACATGAGTCTGCACAAACAACTCTTACTAAAATAACCCTTATTTTCTATTAGTTTCCTCCACATATTTCCAAGCCTTTGCCCCACACTTTATCTCTCCTGTCCCAAACCTCCTTTCCTTTGTTAAAATGGCATATAAGCCCTAGGGTCTAACCACTTCTTGAGTTTCACTTCTTTTCTGGGAACTCCCATGCATGAAAGTTTCAATAACAATTGAGTGCCTTTTAACTCTTAGCAAGCTGTCTTTTGTTAGATTTGCAGGCCACCAGGTACTTAACCTGAGAGGGTAAAGGAAAAATTTTTCCTCCCTAAAACTCGCCATTGAGAAATTTGGCCTGATGATGGACAGGGGATGGGGGATGTTCGTGTTAAAAATGCACAGTCATGATTTTGACATCTTGACTTTTCTTTCTTTGATCTGAGTAAAAAAGACAAATAGGCCTTTGTCTGAGTTAGCCAGTGTAGACAAGCAATTCGGCATACAGGGCAAAACGCTGGAAATAAAACACTACTGAGTTCTCAGAGAGTCAGCCAATCAAGTCATGTAAACAGAGATGGTGCTTTATGGCAGTGAGATTTGAATTAGGCACTACTTAGAGTATAATAAAAACAAAGAAAATTTTTAAAAAAATGAATGAAAACACATTTTATGAAATCTGGAGAATTACAAACTTCTGTAATAAATGCATTAAAATGAACCCCAATGCATTAAAAATCAATAGGTATCATTTGTATTAGAAAAATTACTTCTTAATGACACTTAGATCTAAAAAGCCTTTTTTACCTCCTGATAATGCCAGGGAATGGTAGTGTCCACAGGAAACTTGTATTATTTTTATATCAGCCAGAGCTTTTATCTTCCTATAATAAAAATGATACAAAATCTATTAATCCTTCTTTAGAGTGGATCGCTATGTGGACCACAGATATTTAAAACTTTCCCAAGTGATACATTTGGTCAGGGAAAACAATTTTATGTTCTTACATTTCTGTAGTACCTTTATTACAAAGCACTGAACTGTTTTAAACATGACATCAACATGTATAATACAAAGGCACAGGGCAGAATCCAAAACAGTATATAATGCAAAAATGATTTTTACTGGACTTTTAATGTATTATTTAATGTACTAACTTTTATTCTATACTTATTGGCCTAAAAGAAAAATAAATTTCTTCATACACATATAACATAGGGCTTTAATATTTATAGAACACTGTCACCCACATTACCTAATTTAAGCCCTGTGAGATAAAGAAACGATTGGGTTGAACTGCCATTTTTGTGTGACAAAACATAGCGATCAGCAATTTTACATGGTTGAACCTAGTAGAACTCAAAGAGGTCAAATAAGCATCAAGTTGTAGAACGAGACTCAAACCTTGGTCTTTTCATTCCAAGTTCAATGCTCATTTCCTCAAGCCACAGCAATTTCTCACATGACTTAATAACCACAGGCGGTAACAAGAAGTAACTTCCTAGTATTAAAAAACATGCTTTTGAACATTTCCACAGCATGTAATTCATGAACACATAATTCAGACTGCTTGTTGTATCATTTGTCCTAGAAAGCTGTTTGTAAGGATATGATTTTTTCCCTCCATTTACTAAGTTAAATATTAGGAAACCCAGTGGCTTATAATAAGCCAAAAGTTTATGTTGGGAGAAAAAACTTTTCCCTTACTATTTGAGTGCAGTGACTGGGACTCTACTATTAATTGACAGTAGACAATAGAAAAGACAGGCTAATTTATACAGGGGGTGCCAAAAAAATACATACAAGTGGACACATTGGTCAACGTTGCTCAAGCAGTAGTTCACCGTGATCAGAAATGTCTGGACACTGATGGTAACCACTTGGAGCACCTCTTGTAATTGCAGAAGTCAAATGTGACTTACATTCATCTCGTTATCGGTATACATTGAGTATTACAATTTTAATACAGTTTTCCTTTCTTAAAATGTGTATACATTTTTTGGCACCCTCTGTATGTACACATGTGAGATTCCAATAATAGAAAATTTTTGGAATAATCTGAGTAAAAGTTTATATATATCAGCTTAGCAAAAGCGGAGGGTAGGAGAGGTTAGGGCTTCAATGGTAGAGTATACAAGATTCTGTGGGGGTTTTTTTCTGATGCTGATTGGGCAGTCTGTCTTCACTACAGCTGAATTCACAGGAAACTTCCTCTCAGGATGGTTAATGGCAGCTGAATTTTAAGACGCTTTGCTTTAATCAGATAGGGAAATTCAGATAAGATTGCTTTCTGCATTTTCAGTGGCTCAAATGTTTTCACTTAAAATAATATTAACTCTAGGGGTCCAAGTGGTATGAAGTTATTTTCAATAGATAAGATTAAGATCGAAGGGTTACATGTTCTCATTTCACTATACCCTTTTCCTTCATAGAATTTTCCATAATAATTAATGTTATAAGTTTTTTTCTGCCTCCTTCCCTCACTACACTGTAATAGTATAGGTTAGGAACTGTGTCATAGTCATCTTTGTACCCTGGCATTCTTGCATGGTGCCTGGCACATGGACTCAAAAATACTGAATGAATGAGGGAATGAATGAATGAATTGAAATACTTACTTAGGCGTAAAAACTATTTCCTTAAATTCTTCAATCCCCAGCTGTCCTTCAGAACCAGCTCCCCATGCAAAGACCCTGCCTTTGTGACAGACAGCCAGGGAGTGCTCCTTTCCACAGCTCACCAGATCAACGTGTAGAGTGTCCAGTGCCTTAATTGATTCTTTGGGAACAAAGACAAAACAAAACAGGAACCCCACAGATCATTAATTTAACAGCAAGTTCAAGACAGTCTTTTCCTTCAAATAGAAGGGTCACTGACTTTCTCATCTCTTCCAATGGGCTTTTAAATGAAGGCCTAAAGTCCACGCTAAAGATGTGAAGGAAATAATAGCTCAATGTATGTTGTACTGTCTTTGTGGGAGTACAACTGCTATTTACAACAGCAGGAATCATGTAGGAAAGGAACCTATAGGGACTATGGCGTTTAAGCAAATGTTTCTCTATAATGGTGGTAGCAAAACCCAGCAAAATGGAGGGGGCTGGAGGGATGATGGGATTGCCTCGCTCTACTCTCCTGGCTTCCCAGCCCTGAACAGTGAGAAAAGGAAATACCTCGCTTGCTCAGGAGGAAACAAACAGGAAGCGTGTCTCATGAGTGTGACAGAAGCAGATGCCAGATCTTCTCACAATGAAGAGTGCAGTAATCTACCTCTAAATGGGCCAAATGGGCCTGCAAATGAAAACCTGTTCACATTTCCCTACAAGCCAATCTACACTGTTTTCCCAAAGTGTTGGTCTCCAAATTATTAAAAGTTTGGAGTTAAATATATCATTACCAGTAAAGCTTTTTTAACACTTAGGGTTGTTGTTTTTTTTTCTAAAAATCTTTGTGATTTTATCCTTTTCAATGATTTACTTCCAAACTATGCAACAATAAAGCATTTCCTAAAGATTGATACACTTATGGCAGTAGAAACTGGTACCATCTTCCTGGAGAACAATTTGGCATTAAGGATCATGTTGGCCTCATTTCTACCACAAGGGGATCAGGTTACGCCACCAAAAACTATGCCACTTTTGTATAAAGACTATTTTGAGCTGAAGGTAACTGAGAATCAACAGAAGTGTTCTCTGCCCTCCCCGGATCCACCTAAAAACAGGGCATAAATTTCTCCTGCAAAGGTGCCCCCACACACACACACACCACCACCACCACCACCACCACCGGGAAGAGGGACTTATCACCAGAGCTGGCAGTGAGAAGAGTCTGCATAAACAACCTTTACCAAAATAACCCATGTTTTACATTGTATATTTCCAAGATCATCCCTCAAAGCCCAAACCCCCTATTTTTGTTAAAATTGCGTATCAGCCGCTGAGTCTCACCACTTCTTGGGTTTCAATTCTTTTCTGTGAACTCCTGTGCATATAAAATATTAATAAAATGTTATGCTTTTTCTCTTGTTAGTCTGTTTTTGTCATTGTCAGATTACTTTGCAGTTCCTCACAAGAACTAAGAGGGTGGAGGGCATTTTTTTTCCCCTCCCAGATACAACTCTTGTAATTAATTCTAAGTAGGTAGTCAGAAATTTCATCAAATATTTACCTACAGTAATATCAATTGTAGTAGTATTTATAAAAGCCCCTAATGAGGAAAAAAACCCTAATTTCCACAAAAGGAGAAGAATTAACTTGTACTCTCAGAGCATGGAATGCTACACAACAATTTAAAATGTATTTTCAAACATACATAATAAGAGGGCAATATATTCATGATATTATGCTTGGTGAAAACGCAGTTTACAAAGTTATATAAATACTGAGTATACAAAACTGTATAATGACACGATTTTATAAAGATTAAATATATACTAGAAAAAAGGCAAAAAGAAAATGCATCAAATTAGGAGTTGCCTTTGGGTGTTGGAATTATAGGTGATTTCTTTCCCTATTTCTACAAGAATTAGTAATGGTAAAAAAAAATGCTGTTATATATTCTTTAAGTTTAAGAAAAATGACGACCTAAGGCATTTCTGAGGGAGTTACAGGTGTCCAATTCACAAACCACACGGTCACTGTTGGAAGGTCACTCACTGTTCCAGAGATTTACGTAGGCAAAGCTTGGTTTCGAAAGGTAAGTGGGAGGGACCACAACTCCGTTGAGGAGAGCTGTCCAGTTTGGCTGGGCTCACAGTTTCTCTTTCAGTTTTACTTTGAAGAGGAATTGGAAACCGAAACAAACCAGGGCGCGGCTGGAAAAAGAAACTGACGAAGCTGCGCTCACGCAGCGCGGAGCATCGTTTCCCATCTCCTCTGGCCCCAGCGGACCCAAGGCTCCCAGCGCCCCCACCTGCCTGGTCCCGCACCCCGCATCTGTGTCCTGGCGCTCACCTGGCCGCTCCACGCGCGGCACGCCCCTCCGGCCCAGCTGGCCCTGGCTGTTGTCCCCGCACGAGTGGACAGTGCCGTCGCTCAGCAGCAGCAGCGAGTGGCGCTCCCCGCTGGCCGCCTGCCGAAGCTCGGTGCGGCTCGCGGTGGTCAGTTCCCGACGCAGCTGCCCCCCAGGGCGGGCTCTCCAGCAGAAGTACATCCCGCTCCCGCAGCTGGCCACCTGCCTGGGTCTGTGCGCTCCTCCTCAACCGGCTCGCAAAGACTAATGACAGAGTTCCTGAAACCCGGGAGGCTGGATGTGCCAACTCCACCCTGGGCTCACCCTGCGATTGAACTCACCAGCGGCGCCATACGTCATCCAGACGCCACCCCGCGAATAGCTTTCGGGGCTCAAACGTGAGCGCCAAGTGCCGAGGACCAGAGAGAGACTCAGGAGAACAGTGCCTAGATTTACATCCTAGCTAAGCCTCTTAGGAGCTGTGTGACTTTGGGCAAGTTACTTAACAATTCTGTGCCTCAAGTACCACGTTTATAAAATGTGGACAGTAATACAGCAAATCTAGTATGTTAGGATAATTTAACAGATAATTCATAATGTTAGAATATTGTCCAGAGTGCTTAATAAAAGCATCTGCCAACCCTCTTCTAGACTGTTTTTTGGCACTGGAAATGGGAAACGCTCATGATGCATACACTCTCCTATTTATAAACAAATCAATCCTCAGTATTCCTTAGTATAAGGTCAACTGGCAACATGAAGAAAAATAAAACACTAAAGGAATTGAGGATGGGCAGAAGGCACTAGTATTTTTTTATAAGATAGGGAAGATATGAAGTGACGTTTGAGCAGAGATTGGAGCAGACGTGGGACATGAGTCATGCTCATATCTAAGGGCAGAGGTTACAGGGGAGCAATGGAAAATTTTTGAACAGAAAAGTGACGTGTTCTCAGGTTAGTTTTAAAAGAATCATTCTCACTGCGGTGTAGACAATAATAGGACAAACATGGAAGCAGAAATGCCAGTTGGGAGAGGCTGCTTGTTGGAGTCCAGGGCAGAAGGATGATGCTGGGACTAAGGAGAGAAGAAATGATCACATTCAAGATGTTTTGAAAGTCACAGTCCACAGATTGGCTGATGGATTGGAAGTGGGAGGAAAGAAGGATAAGGATTAGGGTGACAGGTCGGCCTGAGCACCTGGGTGAATGGGGGTACCTTTTACTGGCAGTGGGACCCTGAGGGAGGCACCGCTTTGGGGCTGTTGGATCAGGAGTCCAGTCTGGTAATAACTGAGAGATGTTTGTTATATAAGGAAGCAATAAGATTAACTATTTTAGAGTAGTGGAGAGAAGTAGGGTGGAGTCATACCCCTGGCAGTCGTCACTGTAGAGATAATACTTAAAGCCAGGTGGCTGACTGAGATCACCAGGGGGTGAGTGTGGCTAGCATATAACAGAGGACTGAAACAGGAGGAAAACCAGGAAGGTTGGTGTGACACAAACAAGCGAAGAATGAGGGAACGGTCAACTCTGTCAATTGTCAAGCAAGATGAGGATTGAGTGTTGATCTTTTGGTTTGGCAAAAATGGACGTCATTGGTGTCTTTGACAGTGTTAGCCATCATCAGCATTATTGTTTTATTTTTACTTTTAAAGTACCCATTTATACACTCTCAACTCACCTCTCTTTACTACTACACTTTAAGTTCTCTAAAGATGAGAATAAATGTTGTTTGTTTTTTACTCTTACAAGTGCCTGGCACATGGTAGATGCTAATAAGTATGTGTTGGACAAATGGGTTGATTAGTGGGGAGTAAATGAATAGCATTCATATTTCTAGTTCCATTTTACTCTGTACTGTACAGAACCTTTTTCTGAATAGTAATTTCCTAAATGCTTATTACTTTCTTCAGGCACAAACGCTCAGAGTTTGATATTATCAGCCTAAGACACTGAGCCCTCATATTAAGTTATTTCTTTAAAAAAAACACACAAAAAAAACTACTGGAGACCTAAAATGTAAATGTATTGTACTCATTTTGTGTCCTCGCCACCTAGTGGCTGCCACATTAAAAGAATTCAATAATGTTAGTGAGATGAGTGAATAAAATGTAAATTAAAGAAATTGACCATACTTTTATTGCTTGAGAAAGATATAATTATCCATTCACCTGTGGTTCATGCACTTGGAAATAGTAGGTACCATTTATTGAATGTTTTCCATGTATTGACTATTTTATATAAAATATTTAATTGAACTCTTTCATCTGCTTTTTTCAGTTAAGACTGTTTTGGTTGCAAGGGACAGAAAATATGACCTAAGCTCACTTAAGCAAAAGGGAAATTTACTGGCAGATTGTATTATTATTCAAAAATATTTGCTGCCCATCTCTACCCTATAGCATCAAGCTTGAACACATGAATTCCTTCTGGCCAATGACATACAAGAAGGAAGCCTCATCCAGGCAGATAGTTTAAAAGTCAATACTCATTTTCCCCTACTGTCTCCTTTTCCTCTCTATTACAACGATTGGTGATTTTCTAGATAGAGATTGCTCCATCATCCTGGGTCCCAGGTGAAAAACAGTAATTTAGCAGTTGAAACTAAACTATGTAGTGTGAGAAACGAATCTTTGTGATAAGGCCCCAAGCTTTTGAGGAATATTTGTTACTGCACAGATAGCATTACCTAGCCTCTTCTGACAGTCACATAACTGTAAGTCCGTCAGCATGGATGATTTCATGGATTGCTGTCAACAAGGGCTGAATGTCCTAAGGCCTCCATTTCTGTCTCCCTTCACCCTGCCTCTTACTAGGAGGGCTTCGTCTTCAGGCTCCACTCAGTGTACTCCACAGTTCCAGAATCTCCTCTGAGGTGGCAAGAGGGTTATCAGCTCTCAACTTTATATCCAGCTCTCAGTTTCACACTGTGTGGAGACTCGGCTCACAAACTAAAGTCCTGGAATTTAGCCGCGATGTCCTCAATGGCCCAATTTAGGACACATGTCTACCCCTGAGCCAGTCGCTGTGGAGGCCCTGAGAGACAGTCACTCACCTGGCAGAGCTCTCTGCAAGGTGGGATGTACTCACCCAAGCGCAGGTTCTGAGCATGAGGGGCAGGCAGATTCTAAGATGAAAGCTGGGCCTGTTGCTGAAAGAAGTGGGAGATGGATGCCAAGGAGATAAGCAACAAGCATCCTCTACATCAATCATGTAAAATAAGTGTTATTATTATTATTGTTCCCATTTTGTGGGTAAAGAATCAAGCCTCAGAGAGTTTTGGTAACTTGCTTGAAGTTACATGGCATGTAAGTGGCAGGATTGTAACACTAGTCAATTTAGATTAGAAAGCCCATTTAATTTCTATTATAACACACTCATTATTCCTTGATCTCTCCTCTAGTGCATTTTCTGATTAATGGCACATCCTCAAAACCATTCTTTCTAGAAAATTACAATTCATCTTATATTCCCGACTCATTGCAAAACCCTCCCCTAACCAATTAGCTGCTGAAGGATATAATAGGCTCATATCAGCAACATCTCATTTTTCTATTCCCTTTACATCTCCGCCACAGGTCTTTTGCAATAACATCTCACTTGTCTGTGTCTCTAATTTCTGGCATCTCTAATCAATCTTTTATGGTCTCTTAAGACTTATCTGCAGAAAACACAGTTTTGATCATATCGCATAACTTCTTTAATGGTTGTAGGCCTATTACTAGAGAAAAAATGAATACAAAATCCTTCGTGTATAATTTAAGGCTTGCCATAATCTGTAGTTGTGACTGATCTTTCCAGTTATATTTCATCAACAAGTACAGGCATATCACACACACACTGAGACTACTGTCACAACAAACAACTTGCCTTTTCCTACTTGCTTTTTTCCATACCCATGTCTTTATTCATTCAGTGTCTTATGCCCGGAATTTTCTTTTCCCCATTTCTTTTTACAAATGTGTCAAATGCCTCCTCTTTGTGAAGCATTTCTTGGATTCCACAACATCAATTACTCTTTTCTGGGCTCCTACAATAAGGGATGTCTGCGGGATACCAGCTCCCACAGGTCCAGGGGTTCCCTCAGGTGGAGATGGAGTCAGCAAGGAAAAAGAAGAAAGACGCGCAGAGACACAGGAGCACTTTTAAGAAGAGGTGTCTCAGTTTATTTTTTATAGCATGTCCTTTTTATACTGGACAGTTGACTATATTATTGAGCTGTTGTTTCCAGAGTTAAACTTTACCTATTAGGAAGTTGTTTTTCTTATATGTTCTCTCCCAGGGTCTATTTTTCTGAAAAGTTGTTTTGCTCAGAGTTTTACCTTCTCCTGATGTTTCTGATACAGCCTGATCCATTCTATACTAATGACTAACTTATCCTAACTATGTTTCAATCTTTACCAAAGCTGAATTTCTGCCTTAGCACTTAAAGGATGTTTACTATAACTACTTAGCAATTGTTTCAACCACTACTGGGTAAATAGAGTCCTAACAATTATAAGGAGCATAACTTATCTATTACTAAGAAACTAACAGTAAAACAGAATTATTGTAATATGTCTAAAACTCACTTATTTGGTTAAAGTAAATAAAACAATCAATATAAGAAGGGGTGTCAGATCTTTATCCTACTGGGGACATCCAAAGGGGAATTTAAATTTTCCAAGACATAAAGCAGTATCTGTTTCTCAGTCAGAGCTTCAGAATTTGTCACAATAGCAGTGTGCTTGGCCATGTCAGACACTGAGGTGCAGCCGGCTCCCAACAGATGTCCTTAGTCTGCACACACTCCCCAACATAATACTAACTACACTCTCTGTATCGCTATATTGTTCCATCTTTGCCCAACCAACTCTGTGAGGGAACTTAATCATATTTGCAGCCTCACCAAAATCTAACAAAGCGTCTCTTACACACTATCTGCTAAATATAATGGCTGGCTAGAAGAAGTGGGGGATGAATGCTAAGGAGATACTTAATTGGCACTCAGTGACTATGAGGTGAATTAATTAGGTAAAATTCATAGTTAATATTTTTTTAATCTTTACTGAATGTTCACTATGGGTATACCATGAAGCCAACAAAATATAATAATTGTTACTCATAATAGCATGTACTTTATTTTAAGATTTTATTGGGGAATTGGGGGAGGGGAACAGACAAGTTGTTGTCCTTTTGTTCTTCAGTCTAGTTGTGGAGTGGCCCATGTTGGTATTATTATTGTGCTCTTCCCTGCTGAGGCAGATCAGTAGCCGGCCATTAGATGGCTACTCATGGCGGCACACGGCAGCTCAGAAAAGCTCACGCCAGCTGCCGGCAGGCCCCACTGCAGCCTACACCGTCGCTGGTGACTCATGGCAGCCCAGCTCCAGGTTGAACTGTTGTTCACCATCTTAGCTGTAGAGGGCATGGTGTCACTGGCCCTCATGTGGGATCCGAACCGGGGCCCTGCTGCTCAGAGCTGGCATCCCAAGGCAACTCCTAACCAACGTGCCACTCAGCCGGCCCTAGCATGTACTTTAGACTTTACAAAATCTTTCCAGCTATTTTACCTGCTGTATCCTCATAAGCTCAGAGGAAGCAGCCATGAAAGGAAACACTGTCCCTGTTTCACAGATGAAG